TTTGCCAAAATGGAGCCATTTGTAACAACCTCATCAACCAGTACACTTGTACATGCACCCCTGGATGGACTGGCTTGAATTGTGAACTTGATATTGATGAATGCCTGGTCAGCCCTTGTTACAATGATGCTACTTGTAACAATCTTCTCAATAGTTACACATGTACATGTGCGCCGGGATGGACTGGAAACAGATGTGAAATTGATATTGACGAGTGCACACCAAGTCCTTGCCAGAACCTTGGAGTGTGTCATAATTTACTTAATGCGTACCGCTGTGACTGTCAACTTGGGTGGATTGGTGTAAATTGCGAGATTGGTGAGTAGAAGTATATTTTCTTTTTGTTTTATAAATAGACAACATATGATGATTGCTTCCTGATAAAACGATCGGAACACACTTATACATAGATATTGATTACATTATCTACCATCATTTCAGACTTCGACTTCTGTGCCACACGTCCCTGTTTGAATGGTGCCGCATGTATAGATGGATTGACTCAATACACATGCAACTGTCTACCTGGATATAGAGGAATCAATTGTGAAATTAGTAAGTGAAATGAGAAATTTACATATTATTAGTAAGTGAAATGAGAAATTTACTTATTATTGTACTGAATCGTGTAGCATTAGTTGGAACAAATAATAATTTACTATAAACAACCAAAACAACCAAACTACCAAAATATGGAATGCATAACATTCCTTTTATTCTTCTTTAGATATTAACGAATGTGCCAGCAATCCATGTATGAATGGTGGTGTATGTACTGACAGAGTTAATCAATATACTTGTGAGTGTTCCCAAGGCTGGGCTGGACTCAGGTGTGAAACAGGTGAGTTACTGAACATCGCAATGTAAATTAATTTATCACATATGGAGTTTAAAAATATACATGCTGACATGGTCTGCATTTTTTTTATATTTAATAGACATCAACGAGTGCGCAACTGCTCCCTGCTTGAATGGTGGGATCTGTCGTGATCTGGTCAACTCTTACCTTTGCGAATGTATACCTGGTTGGCTGGGTATCAACTGTGAGATCGACTTCGACGAGTGTGTCAGTCATCCGTGCCTCAATGGTGCCTTGTGTAATAACTTGCAGGGTGCGTATAGTTGTAGCTGTGCTGGCGGATGGGACGGTGTCAACTGCGAGAATGAAATTAACGAATGTGCGAGTAATCCATGTCAGAACGGGGCCGCATGTGATGATCTGATCAATGGTTATTCGTGTGCATGTGTTCCTGGTTGGTCTGGCGTAAACTGTCAGATTAATATAGACGAATGTGCCAGTGGACCTTGTCGTAATAGTGGCACGTGCAATGATAATATCAACTCTTACACCTGTACTTGTGTACCTGGGTGGACTGGTCGCATATGTGATGTAGACTATGATGAGTGTTTGATGTCTTCTTGCTTGAATGGTGGTACATGCTTGAATCTCTTCAACGCATACCAGTGTATTTGCCCTCCAGGTTGGGGAGGAATCAACTGCGAGATTTCCACTGATGAATGTAGAAGTCAGCCATGTTTAAATGGTGGTACATGTATCGACTTGGACAACGCCTACAGATGTGACTGTTCTCCTGGGTACAGTGGGGCCAACTGCCAAATAGACGTTGACGAATGTTCTGCAATGCCGTGTTTAAACGGGGGTGTATGTATAGATCAGGTCAACAGTTTCACGTGTCAGTGTCCTGCTGGGTGGCTAGGGCAAAATTGCGAAATTGACCTCAACGAATGTTCAAGCGATCCTTGCAGAAATGGCGCCACTTGTCTCGATCTTCCCAACTCGTACAGCTGTGTGTGCGTCCTCGGCTGGACTGGAACGAACTGCGATATAGATATAGACGAGTGTTCCAGACTCCCTTGTCAGAATGGCGCAACGTGTTATAATACCATTCCACCAAGCTTATATCTATGCACATGTACATACCAATATACTGGCAGAAACTGCGAGTTTGGTGAGTTATGCAATTGTTGTGTTTATTTTCACGTGTTCCCGTCACAGACTTTAGACAAGAACATAACACAATTCTTAACCTTTGATTTGTGATTTAATTTTATTTTCAAGACTAATATTTGAAATGCCATTGCCTATTTTTTTTTTCAGAAATCGACATGTGTGAATCTAATGACTGCATAAATGGTGCTACTTGTATCAACCACTATACCCATTATACATGTGAATGTGCCCCAGGATGGACAGGTGCTGCTTGTGCTGAAGGTGAGAATATAGTAAAGGCATTAAAATGTTGTATAATGTCTATGTAAAATCTATGTAAATATATATATATACAATATTCGAATGTACGGCGACCTATATCGTTTGAAAAAAAATATCGTAAATAGTGAAATTATAACAATTTTTACAGCATTATTTTATTGTCATGTGGAAATTCACTTTGTTTCAGATTTCGACGAATGCTTTAGTCAACCATGCCAAAACGGAGGCATGTGCGAGAACTTGCAAAATAGTTACTTGTGCTCATGCGCGAATGGTTGGACTGGAACAGATTGTAACATTGGTAAGATCGCCTTTTTCATTATTCCGCTTATGTTTAGTGATCTTAGTTATGTTTAATTTTAAAGTGAGTCACGTTTATGTATTTTGTTAACTTACATTCTAGACATTAACGAGTGTGACAGTAATCCATGCTTGAATGGAGGTACGTGCATGAACGATAATAACAAGTATATATGTTACTGTACTAGAGAATTCACCGGCACTAACTGTGACACAGGTAAGAGCCAACCGTTCGTCATGCTTGACTTTTATTTACCGTGCTTTGTTCAATTTTCCTTATTGTTATATTACAACATGCGTTTACGCATCTGTGAAGTGATGATTGATGGCATTCACAGCCTCTTTCTGATTTGAGGTTGTCTGCCATTAAACATACTGTTTTAAGACCAATGACGATCAACTACACAGTTGTTGATTTGAACGTTATTTGACGTCACAGAAACGCTTCGTCGGTAGAAAAAGTGTATTTACTGTATTTTTTATTAATTTCTGATTTTGTTTGTAGTTATTAGATCTTTTAAATGTGTATTTATTTTTAGTTGCATTACTCATATTTTATTTTACACTATTTTTACCTTACTGTATTCACAGCAGATTATAGTTGCGCAATAAACCATTATTATTAATATTATTATTATTATTATTATTATTATTATTATTATTATTATTATTATTATTATTATTATTATTATTATTATTATTATTTTCTTCTATTTCTAGAAATCGACATGTGTATCAGCTCTCCCTGTCTAAACGGCGGTGTGTGTATTAACTACCACTCCCACTACACGTGCGATTGTTTAATTGGATGGTCTGGACTAACATGCGAATTAGGTTGGTAAAGTAATACATTATCATAACATTCTGCGTGAGTCATCCTGCTAATACATTTACCACTATTTCTGGGAAATCAGCAGTAACAGTAATGGATATTATTTTGTTTTATTTTGTTTAGAAGTGAATTTATGTAAGAACAATCCGTGTTTAAATGGCGCTGAATGTATTAACCTCTACACGTCCTACACGTGCACGTGCACGCACGGCTGGGAAGGAACAAACTGTGGACAAGGTAATAAAATACCATGATTTCTTTTACACATTTGCTTCAATAATACGTAAGAAAAAATCACTCGCATTTATAGTCGTTTTAATAACAAGTAACCTTTCTCCCACAGAGATTAATCCATGTTTCAGTTATCCATGTGCTAACGGTGGGCAGTGTAACAACTTCGTCGACTACTATACTTGTAGCTGTCCACAAGCTTGGAGTGGACCCACGTGTAATCAAGGTAGTCATATTTAAATAGTTATATGGAGTAGGTGTTCGTTCTTCTACTTATAGCTCAGTGTTGATCTTCCAGAGGTGTAACTACTCGTTTTAATAATGGGCTGTGTTATTTTGTTCCCGTAGCTGTCGACGCCTGTGAAAACAATCCTTGCTTGAATGGCGCCCTCTGTGTCAACCAGTATACCCACTATACATGTCAGTGTCTCATTGGATGGGGTGGCATTAATTGCGAAACTGGTGAGTACACATTTAACATTTTTTCAAAGACGAAGAGAACTTTTATATTAATAATTTTGCAAATGTACTGTAACTTTTTTACGTTTTTACCAAGTAAAGTTATTTACTTCGACGGTTAATTTATTTACAGAACTGAACCCATGTCTAAGTACTCCCTGTCTGAACGGTGGACTGTGTTCCAATTTCTACATTTCATATACATGTAACTGTCAGCAAGGGTGGAGCGGAGCAAACTGTGAAACTGGTAAGTATTCAACGTGTGGGTGTTGCAGCGCCCCCCCCCCACGACAAGAAAGAGAAACACAAATAATGTGTAATTTTGCCTGTTATTTGTTTCAGAACTGAACCCATGCTTCAGCGCACCATGTTTAAACAACGGAGCATGTATTAACCAATTCACATATTACACGTGTAGCTGTGCTGTAGGATACACCGGGCCGAATTGCGATAGAGGTGAGTACGGTGTATTTCACAAAATTACTAACAGGAAATGATACTCTATGTTCATTAAATCATCCTCATTTAACCTTGCCGGTGAACACTTTTATATTTCTTACAGAAATAGACCTGTGCGTGAATAACCCATGCCTGAACGGTGGTGTCTGTCAGAACTTCATGTCCGACTACAAGTGCACATGCGCGGAAGGATACACGGGTCCGAACTGTGCTGTCGTCATCAATCTATGTGACCCAAATCCATGCTTGAATGGTGGCGTATGTACAAACTTCGCTACGCGCTACGCATGCGCATGTCAGGGTGGTTGGACAGGGAATACGTGCAGTATCGGTGAGAGAATTTTAACGTTATCAATCAGAGTTTTCAAAATTTGGTTCGTTTATCATAAAAAAATATTTAAACAAGTTTTGTAATAATGGTTTTGATGTGCTTTTATTGAATAGCTGTGGACATGTGTTTTCAAAATCCCTGTTTGAATGGCGGATTCTGTACGAATTACCAGACGCACTATACGTGTCAATGTATTGACGGATGGACTGGAAATGACTGCAATACTGGTAAATTGAAACAATACTGATCCAGATATCATCAAACTTGTATTGTTGATTCTGCTCTTAGCGTCTTATAAATCTTGTGATATACATATTTCGGTTTTATCGGTGACACTTCTGGAAATGTTTAAACAAATACTATTTACCCCATTAAAGTCACAATGTCCATTTGTTTATGGAACTTTATATTTCTTTACCTTCAGAAATAAATCTGTGTACCATCTACCCATGTAAAAATGGTGCCACCTGTATCAATCATCGCACATACTACACATGCGAATGCCCCGATTCCTGGACTGGACCCACGTGTGAAATCAGTAAGTGTGTTTAAGTTGTTCGTTGCATCGACGCAGCAAATCATTACATATTTCACACCATTTACACCGATTACGGCGACAATTAAAAACTACAACAATTGATATTTCTATGTGTACAGGAGTGGATGCATGTGACACCAGTCCGTGTCAAAATGGAGGGACCTGTATAAATTACTACACCCATTACCAGTGTCAATGCCCGCATGGATGGTCCGGTCTGAACTGTGACAACGGTGAGGTGGTATATAAGTGGCGAAACACTTTTTCTTAATGTATCGTATATCAGTAGAAGCATCGTGTATTGTGGATAATAGTCACTAACATTATAAACCGATATCAATTATTATCATTACTAATATATTACATTTTTATGTTAAAGCGCGGTAGTCGACGCGCTGCGCGTGTAAACAAAGATGGCGACTTTGACTGTCGCGCAGATGAACGAAGTGGAACGTTTCCAAGCTTTAATTGAGTAATTTTCATGTTATTGGAAGGTATCGAAGGAGTCGCCGGCGGCAATAAGTGCAAGTCGTGCTTGTGATTTCCATTTGAAGAGCGCTTTGGATTGTGGGGAAATCAATGTTTATCAACACAATGTCGCACATGCGCAGCGCGACCGCTACCGCACTTTAAACTTGACGTTCACGGTTAATAGAAGGATATCCATTTGTATTTCAGAGATGAATCCTTGTAGAAGCAACCCGTGCTTCAACGGCGGTACGTGTAATAACCTAGGCACATCGTTTACGTGTTCCTGTACCAGAGGATGGACTGGCCATACGTGTTCGCTTGGTATGTCAATCACGTAGTTTTACACTAAATTGCCTAATAAAACTAAGTATTAAATAAATATGGTATTTATATTATATGTATGTTTCCATGATCTAACACATTGTATACCCCCATTGAATCAACAGCGATCGATGCCTGCCTCGGCAATCCTTGTCGAAATGGAGGATCCTGCAGCAACCACATTGACTTCTATACTTGCAGCTGTACCCACGAGTGGACTGGAACCAACTGTGATACAGGTACGGTAGCGAATATGTTATGTGTTTGTTACGTTTATTTTATCAGCCTAGTAAACACATACCGCGGAAATAAATCGCAGTTTGGTTGTATTAATACACTGATGAGCAAGCAATTCATATCGCAACCAGTAGAGCTAGTACAATAAACAAGTATGTTTTCCATGTTTCAGTGGTTGATCTCTGCTTAAGTGGTCCATGCCGTAACGGTGCAACGTGTACGAATCTGTATACAGATTATATATGTACGTGTCAGATTGGGTATACTGGAGCAATATGTGATAAAGGTAAGTTGATTAGTTTCAATGTACATTTAAAGGGAGAAGTCGTCACCTGCGCATGCGTCAAATGACCATAGCGTGTCTTTGTTTATAAACAATCCTCTACCCATGAACCTTTGCGTTTTTAGCGTGTGTTGTTATCGTCACTTGGGACTCAATTCCCGCGCGTGCGCAGATGACGACCCTCCCGCTTTAAAACCGGTCAGATTGATCTGGTAATTTGTGTATACACGATGCAATTCATGTAATCTAACGGTGTGTGTTTGTTTGTGATCTCTTATACAGTTGTCAACTTATGCGAACATAATCCTTGTTGGAACGGTGGTGTGTGTTTAAATAACAACGGCATTTCATACACGTGTCAGTGTCCTCAAGGGTGGATAGGCAACAACTGTCAGATTGGTAAGTTTTCCAATTCGGCGTCAATAGAATGTTCTCATATACTTCATATGCGGTATCTCATGGATACTATGAGGTTATTGCGAGGATACCTCAAAGTCGATGCGACGGCGTACTGTCTGAGTGCATACTTTGAAGTACCCTCGTAATAACCTTATTATTGTACATCTTTTCCTTCCAAGGATACATCATGGGAGTGCCGAAATCCAAAAAGTTTCGAACAGAATTAGCGAATTTCTTGTGGGGTCCGGTCAAACCCCGGTGGCAGCCATGTTTGTTTTTAATATTAGAGGACGCTTAAGCACGTAATCATTCCATATTTGGAATTCGCATTTCCTTATATGGTAGGATGAAAATACCCCGTAAAATACCGCACGATATGCCTTATGGCGTTACGGTGACAGATGTATAATAATGGGTCATAATAGTACACGGTACACGACGTAAAAGTCACATGTTACAAAATTAAACATTTTTTCCAGGAATCGACGCCTGTGCCAGCAGTCCATGTTTGAACGGTGCTGTGTGTTCCAACCAACAATCGCATTACACATGTCAGTGTCCTCCGGGGTATATGGGATACAATTGTCAAACTTGTAAGTAAAATACAAATGTTACAGTTAGTAACAGTTTCGCTAAAAATCATGTTGTGTTTACTTGAATATGCTACGATAGAGAGAAGAATTTTTTTATAATATATACTAGTAGATGATAACGGATTTCTAACCTTGCATTTTTTCTATCTACAATACAGTAATCGATATGTGCTACAACAACCCATGCCAGAACGGTGGTGTATGTAACAACTTTGGTAGTCATTATACGTGTCACTGCGCTGAGAGATACACGGGTCTAACTTGTGAACTTGGTGCGTATATTTACTTTCGCGAAATTATCGGTAATAAGTACAGATACACTTGTATTGTATGTGGAATTTCAAACAAGTCGATACGAAGTCGCCAATGTGTAGCGTAAAAAGAGTCATGTTGGTTGTTTAAAAAGTCGGACATATCATTCATTCGTTCATTCGTTCGTTCGTTCGTTCATGGTAACTTGAACCTACTGTCGTGTTCTTTTTGCAGAATTAGACGCATGTGCCAGCAGCCCATGTCTGCGCAGTTCTGTGTGTGTTAACCTATACACATCGTACCGTTGCAATTGTTTACCTGGGTGGACCGGTCAACTCTGTAACATAGGTAAGATTGGATATGTTAGGGTCGATACATCTCCCACCCCCTGTTTTTAGGAACATGTAAACAAAGCATCGTACACTGCAATATTATTTCACCACCTTAGTAACGATTTCCAATTGCAGAAATCAATCTCTGTAACCAGAATCCGTGCTTGAATGGTGGTGTGTGTAGCAATCACCGAACATACTATGCTTGTCAGTGCGCCGACGGGTGGACCGGACAAAACTGTGAAGTGGCTACTGACCTATGTGTGTCTCACCCATGTTTGAATGGTGGTGTGTGTTCCAATTACCAGACCAGATACACGTGTACTTGTTCTGACGGGTGGATGGGGGATACCTGTGGCATCGGTGAGTTCACGTTACAAATACGACTAACAGTTATATATATAAACATTGCAGGATATCATTATTATTATAGATTGGACATTATAAGTACGGTACAATAGTACGAATTGTAACATTTATGTATTGTATTTGTGCTGTATTCATTGGTACTGGTGTGTTCTTATCTTGTCTATAATGTTTGTCACTCAGCCGTGAATCTGTGCGAACCTGATCCGTGTCTCAATGGAGGTATATGCAGTAACTATCAGACGTATTACATGTGCAGTTGTCCACGTGGTTGGACTGGATATAACTGCGGAACAGGTATGAACTGTGATGTATTTTGGGCATAGATGTGAAGCTGTTGTCTGTCGAATTGATTTTTTAAGGATGTAGCAGACTTTCGTTGGGCAAAACAGAAAAAGCTTGATAAAAAAATAATACATGTACTGATTAGTGACTAACAATTTTTACATGTAATTGTAGCCATAGCAACACTAAAAAATATCAAAAATATGATAACACTGATGTCGACGTTAATTACGTATGGTAAATAAACAAAATCTTTTGTGTTGCTATTTTTTTACTGCTACTAGAAAACGAAAACAGTTAGAAAACACATTTTTATGAGAAAAGGAAGACTACAATGTTATCAAAAATAATGTTTTTACCATTTATATCATTTTATTTATTTTCTTTTATTTATTTATTTTTCAGCAATTAATTTGTGTCTGCCACACAATCCATGTCAAAATAGCGGTTTTTGCCAGAATGTTCAAGACAGTTATGTTTGTATTTGCCAAACTGGTTGGACGGGAATCAACTGTGAAACAGGTAGGATGACAATCTTTCATGCGCCCTCAACACAGTAACATATTCTTTTTTAAGTATCCGTTTCTTTCAGGTTGAACCATGTGTGTGAAATCCGTATATTGAATGCTGAAATTTGATTTTAAACAAAAATAATATCGAATTGTTCAAATAATAAAATCAGTCAGGTTTCATTGTCTCACCTTGTTTTTTGTTCATGTATATTGCATAGCCTTGAACCAGTGCAGCAGTCTGCCATGTCAGAACAGCGGCACGTGCATCGATTTCGTAACTCACTTCACCTGCACATGCGCACAGGGATGGACCGGGCCAACATGCAGTGACGGTACGTGTTTAATCTTATTTAACCCTGGGAAATGCCTCCATGACGTGCGTTATACAACGATACATATTTCTAACAAATTGCACCAACAAATAAGTGGGCTCACCAAGTGCTTGATTGAATCTGTACGATTTAACACAAACAACTACAATAAAGACCCGAGTCGCTTGTACTGTGAAACGGAATGCCACAAAACGTTAAATTACACTTTTTCTGTATTCTGCAGTGATTGATTTCTGTGCTACGAGTCCATGTCGCAACGGAGGGATATGTAGCAACGTGGGCACGTCGTACATGTGTCAATGCCCCATTGAGTGGTCTGGTCCACAATGCCAATTTGGTAAGTTACGATGTTATAAATAAATCCTATTACATATATTATATAACTAATTTGTACTGACTGGTGAGTACTGACGAGGTTATGTTACATTATTGAACATTGCTACGTTTAAAATCATTTAATTAAAGCACGGTGGTCGTCGCGCTGCGCATGTGCGACATTTGTGTTGATAAACATTAATTTTCCCAGCATCCAATGCGCTCTTCAAATGGAAATCACAAGTATGAGGTTTAACCTGGGCTCGACTTGCACTAAATACCGCCAGTGACTCCTTCGATACCTTCCAATCACCTAAAAATTAAACCTTGGAAATGTCTCAGTTTGTACTCGTTGATCTGCGCAACAGTCAAAGTCGCCATCTTTGTTATATGAGACCCATATATCTCGCGCATGCGTGGCGCGACGTCTACCGTCCTTTAAACTAGTTACGTTATTGTACTACACATTTTCAGACTATAAAGAACTGTCACACAATACATTAGAATATCATAACTAAACTCAGATCATAATTGATGTACAAACCTGTTTATAACAGTACGCAATGTCTTTGTTTCCTCAGCTGTCGATGCCTGTAGCAGTTCTCCGTGCCAACACAACGGCGTTTGCCAGAATTTTTACTCTCATTACTCCTGTATATGTACACCAGGGTGGACTGGAGTGAACTGTCACATCGGTAAGATTACTCTGTCTGATTTATGCTTATATTATTCTGGCAGCAAAGTATGTAATACACAATAACCTCGATATAAAGAACAAGTTTATAATGAAATCATCGCATGTATCCAGCGCATAACAAACCCACTACTTCATTGTAACACTTCACTATAAGAAACTAATTGTATGTACCCAAAAGAGTTTAGTAACTTTTTTGGATGTTTGATTATTTTATTCTGATAGCAAAGTAAACAATACGTGTATAACGTATTCAATACAGTATTAAAGATGAGACACACCTTTTAAGGCACTTGTTGATTAATACTTGTAATATCCTGTTGAATAAATTTGAACTTTCTGTATTCAAGCACACTAAACTAGTCTAGAATACTTCATTTATTGAAACATGTGACTTCTGGGACTTTATTTAAATAGCTGCAGGCCATTTGCATAATTAACAAGGGCTGCAAATCAGTGGTCATCTACACTGTGCCTTTACACAGTTTATTATACACAAATTTAGGCATTGTAAAAATGAATTCAGCATGTATTGAGCCATTTGAAAATAATGTATGAGATGTGTAACACAAAAGAGTGACTTTACGAATATTCTAATATCCCTTTTGTTTCATTTTATAAGCACTCAAGAATAATTTAATTTGTAATAGCGTCAACACGCCTCTATGTGAATGTTGTTGTCGCGTAATTGGATAAAAAGGGCTTAGCGAATTTTTATTTTCACGATTTTAAAAATCAAAAATTTAACCACATTTTTGATAAGATCTTAAATGTTATTCAAAAAAATCCTCTTTAAACCGAATTTATAGACATTCAAAATGTTTTTTGGAGTTTCATTTTAGAATTGTACTTAATATGACTGTTCTGTTACAGCCAAGGACCACTGTCTTTCTAACCCTTGTCAACATGGAGCATTATGTACGAACTACCAGACATACTTTCAATGTACGTGTACCGTTGGATGGAGTGGAACCCATTGTGAAATTGGTAAGTGTGGTTGTTGGTGGCGCATCATCAATTATCTGCTTTCCACGTGACTCGTGTTACATTATTAATCATTCAATTTTTGTGCCTGTCAGTATAATTTAGTCACGTCATGAACAGTTATGGACTATCTACTCCGTAAACGCCATCAAGTCTCGTGTCAGAAGTGAAATTTTACATGGGAATTATAATTCTATGCCATTTTCCTTTCAGCCACTGGTCTCTGCAGCTCATCCCCGTGTCTCAACGAGGGACAGTGCAGTGATTACGGCTCCTATTATTCATGTAGCTGCAAACCGGGCTGGACGGGAACCAATTGCGAAACCGGTGAGTAACACTTTTGAATTGAAAAATGTAGTATCACGTCAAATTCGCATGCACCAAATTGTTTTTTGCGATTATTGTGTAATTTCGTATTTCCAATAGTTTTCTATTTCTTTTCTGTACAGCTCTCACGCCATGTGACAAACACCAGTGTGTAAATGGCGGTACATGCATTGCCGCTGCTCAGAACACTCACTATACCTGCAGGTGCGTTACGGGGTTTACTGGACCGTTCTGTGACATTAATATCAACGAATGCGCCAGCAATCCGTGTCTGAATGGTGCTGTCTGCAACGATCTCATCGGGAAATATACATGCACGTGTACGAATGGATACTCTGGAATCAACTGTGAAAATGGTGAGCAGTACATCCGGGATATTCAACATCCGGGTATCTGAGATACCAGTGTTTTTTATGTAATATTTTCTGAGCTGTAATCGGATCTTAACATTATAAACCCAAAATAGTATTACGTATTAGCCCAATTTTATTTTTGTTATGTTTTTACCACTTTCAGTCGCAGAGCGATGTCTGCCTAATCCATGCATGAATGGCGGCATTTGCACTAACTATGGTACTTACTATGTCTGTACATGTCAACCTGGGTGGACTGGATCACAATGTGATGTCGGTACGTATTACTGTCCGTATTACTGTCCATGTTTCTGTCCATTGTCCCTTATCTCACCAATCACTCAATGTGCTCGTGTGACATTCTGCGACTAAAAACAAGTGGTAAAATTGTCTCATATTAAATGTGTGTTTTTTTTTCATTTTAGAACAAAATTTATGTCAGAGCAGTCCATGTCTCAATGGTGGCACATGTTTCCATCAGCTTGGGCAGAGCTTTTACACGTGTCTTTGCGGCGATGGCTTCACAGGGCCACGATGCGAACTCGGTAAGTGCGCCACCAGCGACATATTGAACCCATTATTTTGTTTTTTCAAAACATTTAATAGCACATAGTAACTACGTATATTTCAGACTATATATGCATTTGCCAGGCTATTGTTGTTAAATTGTAATTTCTTTGCTTAGATTTAGACGAGTGTGCGCGCCATCCATGTCTGAATGGTGGTACTTGCACCGATGGTATTAATGGTTTCACGTGTTACTGTCGACCTGGTTGGACCGGAACGCAGTGTGAAGTTGGTGAGTAATAAGTTCACCCTCGCTGAAAAGTACAATGCATAACCCTAATGTATATTACTCAACTTCTTACATTTTACTTTAAAAGCTATATATTTCACTTTTCTATCTAGATATCAACGAGTGCTCGAGTAACCCATGTATCCACGGAGGTACGTGTATTAACGGAGCCAATATGTTCACATGTCAGTGTCTACCGGGCTTCAATGGTGACTTATGTCAATTTGGTAAGTGTAACCCATCGGGTAACCCCTCATCACCGACAATAATATCGGGAAAAAATTTAGTTCAATATTTGCAGTACGTCTCATATATACATTTCGGTTATTTTCCATAGAGATGAACGAGTGTGCCAGCAGCCCCTGTCTGAACGGTGGTACGTGTCTCGACATGCGGGGTTCCTACACATGTCAATGTCCAGCAGGTTTCCAAGGGCGTAATTGTGAACTAGGTGGGTGACGCAATCCAAAAATTATCTTACTCCATGTTAATTTGTCATTTCTAGTTAAATTATGTTTGCCATGTGAACACTGTCACGAACGTTTGTGAAATTTTGATGGCAATATAAATGTTCTGAGTCACTATTCTATATAAAATACAATATACATGTTTATTTGGTCCCGTAGCTATTGGATGTATTGCCGAGGTCGACATCACTGATGCCGGTATTGTTGAACTGCATTCACCAAATTACCCAGCCAACTACCCAGACAACGAGTACTGTCGTTGGATCGTGCGCTGCAGTCCAGGAAAACGTATTCAGGTGGTATTCCAGAATTTCTACACCGAATGGAAATACGACTGGGTTGACGTGGGCCTGTGGAGCGATGTGGCCGATCTGGGGTCACGTCTGTTGCACTGGTCGGGTCAGGAACTACCTCCCGCTATCATCACGGAGGGGACGGAGTGCTGGATTCGATTTACCTCGGATTACGAGAAGACAGAAAGCGGGTTTTCAGTGAGGGTGTATGAGACAGATCAAACTGATGGTAAGATTTTTAAAATCATTCTGCTTCAACCATCGAACTTGTTAGATTCACACTATGGCATCATATGAGTAAACTGGCACGATAGAGCTCAAACAATACTGTGAGTTTTGCGAAAACCTCAGCACTGACGGCGACTCGGGTAAGAGCACAACGAGAAGAATATTCGATTGTGTAATTTCGTTTTTCCCTTTACAGTTGTGAATGAGTGTTCCAGCTCGCCTTGTAAGAATGGCGCTTCCTGTATCAATTCCATCAATAAATATGTGTGCGTCTGTTCTGATGAATGGCATGGAGTTAACTGTGAAACCAGAGTCAGTAAGTACAACTTAACAACTCAATTATCTTCACGCACGTCGATAACCTATTTATCAGTTGTTGTTTGTGTTATGTCATGTGCTATCTTTAAATGAGTACGTCATCACATCCACCATTATTGTTTACGCTTCCCTGGTACCAATTTCGGTTACGCAAACGCTTGTGACCGTGATCGTCATGATTTTTTTTACTCACTTTAAATTTTTGAATTATAGACATCAATGCTTGTTCCAGTAACCCATGTCCAATGTCGGCTACCTGTCTCGATACAGCGAGTAACTATGTGTGTATATGCCCAGATGATGTTGATCATTATTTATGCTCCAAAGGTAAGGTTTTACCAACCTATATAGAATGATTTGCAAAACCGTCGGATTTTATATTTTCTTAGCCTTGATTTTGCGTGTACCCTCTATGTGCATTCATAGATGTATACGTTTTATTGACAACTGAATGTACGTTATGTCTATTTCAGACTTTGATGTTTGTACTGAAAGTCCATGCCGCAACGGCGCCACGTGCGTGAAATATGGTAATGACTACACGTGTAACTGTGCACCTGGGTATGAAGGTCCCCTCTGCGATCAAGGTACGTATATTTGTCAACAAATGTTCATATATAAAATATAAGACAGCAATAATAGGCGTTTTCTTACACAGTCACTTGGGGCTGAAAATCAATAAATACTATTTTTTTTAAGAAATCATCCGCTATACACATATATAAATAAATGAAATCGGTAAGTAAGAAAAAAACTATGTATAAATCATTAAAATACAAATACAATTCTACCTGAAAACATAATACACGATATACCATATGCGTATAGCGTATGATTTAAAAAATATATATTTATTCATTTTTAGCCCCCAAGTGACTGTGTTTTTTTAATATATAAGTGACGTAATTTCAAATTCAAAGTCATACATCTCGTCAAATAACTCACACGAGTAAATGCGTGTTCTTGTATACTTATTTCTTGACTGTATTATTTCATATAGAAGTAAACGAGTGTGCTCCCACGCCTTGTCAGAATGGTGGTACGTGTGTCGACGGTATGAACTCCTACACGTGTTACTGTACTCCAGGGTACGAGGGCACAAGATGTGAAGTTTGTAAGTATATTAGACAATGCTCCGTATAACATAATTATATTCAACTTATTTATTCGATTGTTTTTTTGTTTTTTCCCCAATAACGACTCTTATTGAATGAATTGTGTTTCAGCGTTAACTGGCTGTGCTGCCTTGCCATGTCGGAATGGTGCTCAGTGTCTGGATCTTGTCGGTGGTGGCGTGCAGTGCAATTGTGTGGCCGGATTTTCGGGTTCAAGATGTGAAAACGGTAATTAAGAAAAAAACTATGTGTGAAGACATAATACTAGTACACGATATACCATTTCATACATACTTCAAGACAATTGTGGCGATATTATAAACTTGATACATATCACACATTATATTTTCTCTCACTCTTCTCTTCACCTACAGACAACGATGAGTGTATAAGTAGCCCGTGTCAGCATGATGGATATTGTATCAACGACATCAATAAATTCGCATGCGTGTGTCCTTCTGGATGGCGCGGGGAACGCTGCGAACTGCGTAAGTATGACTTGTGAAACATTGGCCATACATTGACAAACGTATAACTAATCCATGTAATACTAGTATATACTCCAGTACTACTATAAGTTGTAGCCTTCTATATTTAAAGCAGGACGATCGTCACCTGCGCACGAGCGGGAATTGAGTCCCAATCGACGATAACAACACACACTAAAAACGCAAATGCTCATGGGTAGACGCTTGTTTGTAACAATGACACGCTATGGCCATCTTTAAAATTTAAAATTAAATACTTAGTCACGACAAGTTAAATGTCGTCGTATACATTATACAACTTTCATTTGTATTTATGTTTACATGATATTTGTTTTTTATGCACAGCTGACCAGTGCTTCAGTAGCCCATGCATGAACGGTGGCACGTGTCACGACATGGAATACGGTGGATACGCATGCGTTTGTCCAGCGGGTTTATCCGGGGAGAACTGCGAGTTTGGTAAGTCTCAAAATGAATCCCTGATTACATGTCGCATAAAGTACATGTACTTAAAAATGATAATTTAGAATATAGGTTACCATATCTAAATATTTTATCTGTGATGTTTTCTTCAATATATTGCAGGCGTTGTGAGCCACTGCGTAGGTATGGTCAATCCGTGTTCTAATGGAGCTACGTGTGTGTCCATTCAGAATGGTTCTCCCCGATGTGTTTGCACCTCGTCGTACACTGGCGAATACTGCGAGACTTGTAAGTGAACTTTGATACATGTTTGATTGCGTCGTTTACTGTACTCTGTATACGCGACGAAGCTTGCGTGCGTTTGAATGTTGCAGTGTGCAAAACCATTAAACCTGGAATCATTGCCCGAAAAAAATATCTTAATTACTCAATCTAATAAACTTTCTCATTTTCTCTCTAGATGTCGGCATGTGTGGTAACCATCAGTGTAGAAACGGCGGTTATTGCGTTTCCGTGGACCACGAAAGTAGATATACATGTACATGTGAGCCTGGGTGGACTGGAGAATATTGTGAAACAGGTGAGTTGAGCAACGCCACCAACGGCAACATATTAATATATTTGTTTTTATTCAAATATCTTTGTTGAATTAGTTTTATGTGTAAAGTAGGCAATAATGCAGTTTCCACATTAATATTGGCTTAACCTAACATTTTATCACTCTTTGCGTGACGTATTTAGATATCGACGAATGTTCAAGCCAACCATGTATGAATGGTGCTACATGTTTGAACGAACTGGATAAGTTTACATGTAACTGTTTGCCTGGTTACGAAGGCGATCTCTGCAGTCTTGGTGAGTGGATATTCTTTGTGAACAAATGTCCCCTTAACACACTGAACACCTCTCAATATTCCGACTGTAGCAAAGTCGTACATCGATGGATATTCATACATACGATCACTTCCAGCTGTGACGCAACACATCCATCTGTGGTCCGATGGAGTACGATAGCGCCCTCCCCGTGAAACTCACATTACGAGTGTGACTGACTCAGTGTTCAACACTTTTCAATGAAACAAACCAAATATATCAAATTCGCTCATAGAAAATTTGGTTCAGCAGAATGTGTTGCGTGGTCCAGTGTGTCACTTGATAACGGATAATCTGTACAGCAATCTAATACAGTATGCACATGGCACGACGAATTAACGTTATTGTTAACAATACTTCATTCAAATTATTCTATTCGTTTACAGTTCCTACTGTCAACACATCTGGTGGTATCAATTGGTTTTGGATCATGTTTGCGTCGTTGCTTGCGTGCATTATTCTAGTACTTTTCTTGGTGCTGGGATATTGTATGTGCACAGAAAAACGTAAGAAAAAGAAGAGCGAGAGCACAGCTTGAATTCCTGCCAGTATATTAATGCTTTCTTTATTTTCAATATCATGTATTTATTATTATTTTTTCTATTTTATAAAAAGGCGTACCAAGAGCTTTATGTTTTTAAAGAGAATTTATGTTATTAACACCCACGTTGCGCTTAGAAGAATACATATCTAGATTGCTAGCTAATTCAATAATTTACATGAAATTGCACACAATTATGAAGCTTTGAAGCATCATTGTTTTTTTTTCATGATCTTATTTACACCTTTACTATGCGTGTCTCTCTGTGATATTTCACGCTGTGTATGTAAGTATGAATGAATGTTAATTACTAGAATATTTTTGATTATAGAGAGAACTATAAAATGATTGTTAAACCATGAATGTCAACCTAAATATTAACTTGAAAGATTATCACATTTGTTTGGTTCTGAAGAGATTTTCAACTATTTGTTGAGCTAGTTTGTATATATATTTTTAAAATATCGTGATTCCCACCGCTTTTAAACATAGTTGAATTAGTTGTTATTGTCTGTTACAATGGAGCGCATCACACACAGAACTAGACGTGGATTTACAAATTAACTGCCTCCGAAGTTATTTTTATTTTTTGTATTATACATAAGTGCTAATATATTATATTGTTTTAAAATAAATATTATTATAACATTTTTTACAATTCGTTCTGCTGTTGCCTGAATACTGCATTGTGTGCATTTCCATATACCGGTAATAGCGGTATCGATTCTATGATAGTTGTACCCAAAATAAAGCTTTCTTTAATTTAGCAAATGAAATTTCGAGAAAAATACACTACACTACTATTATTTCAAAAAGACTAGTCCCTTCAAATTTCAATATTTTTCAAGTTCTGCATATAATGTTCGCCATGCTGGGAGTAGTCATAACGCTAAGATTAAAAACAATCAAGTTCGGTAACAGTATAGTGTACCGGTCTGTGCTACAATCTCTCTATCAAATGGCGATATCCAGGCGTCAACCAGGCACTATCACTTGCACTCCAGTGGACGAATCTCTGCTAGTGGAATATACTTTCCCATTGACTATGTGACACACTCACCCAGGTGCAACAACTACTAAGCTACAAGTGTCTGGTTTGTACAATTCTTCGTAGAATATGTTTTCTACTGTTTACACTGGCAAATATTTCAAAACAGTTACACAATTTAAGCATGTCCGGATAATATTCATTTTAATGGCAGAAAAATACGATGTCCACACTATGATTCATAGTTCAATTGTTGAACAATTCGACAAAATATAATCGTGACAGGGCGTATACTCACTTCACCCATCCGTACCTGGCAGTGACAGTAAGTATTGTTATGCAAACAAGAAGACCCGGAAATTGACAATGAGTCACCAATACCACACCATCGTAAAATTATACAGTGGCGGCTCTCCGACACGAAGTTATCCCAGTTACGTCGTACTCAACAGGGTTGTCTTTTCAGAGATTGGAGGTGAAAGATTACCTTCGCGGAAATAAATATCCCTTTAGTACGAGTCACAAGGTTAACATTGCCAAGAGGAAAATTCCGCTTGTGTCTTTCCAACAAAAGAATAAGTTATAGATCAATCATGGTACCAATGCAACAACAATTTTAAATGTATCGTTCCGTTTAGTTACACATTGCGTACGTTTTCGTATTAGCCCCTTCCGTATAATATCAGAGGATGTTATTACGTAATAACGATTAATAACTGCTACACGTGCTTAACATCCACATGTTTTATATAAAAATCTTAATATTTCGTATTTTCCAATGCCAAGGCCCTGTCCACTGGATTACGATTATTATCGATTAGCGGGTAACTCGGCAAATTATTTTATGTTTCCATGGGTTACGGGGTGTGCACATGCAATACCAATGGCGATAATATAAATGACATGTACACGGACCACGTATACTAGTATTATATATATTTTAGTAAAACATTTGTTCGGTTTTGTTGGAACTAAACATCAAGTTAGTGCATATATATATCACCACATATTAACGATCATAGAAATGGAATCACGGCATAGTGTCAAAAATAACATGACACGTGATAAAAAAGCATTGCCTCCGTTGCTAGGCAACATGGTGACTTTGATGATAACGTCAACAGGTAGATGATTTCATCGGGTGTACCATCATTTATCCTTAGGTATACAGGCTGTGCACATGAACAAGGAACATTTCGCAGAGAAAATCTAAAGATATTTTTACATGGAGAGAAGCATAATCTGTACACATGGTCCTGGGCAAAAATGAGATTAGCGGTGCATTCTGTGTGGCCGCGCACCTTGAATAATTGGCTCGGTATTTCACAATCAATTCACACATTCGCCAGGAGTGGTTTCGGTCTCCAGGGATGGGGTATTGCTATTTCACGTAAAGTTTGAAATTCTTTTCATATTCTGACAGTCAGTCATCACAGTTCTATGTCTAGTAAAAAAAAAAACGCGAAAGCATCGTAAAGAGCGAGAGAGAAGGAAATGAAAAAGGACATTACATACCGGATATAGTAATCTTTTCAAATACACTACAAAAATAAATATAAAAAATAGCAAATGGTAATTTAAATGTTTGGCATCGAGCGAATTGTTATGCAACGGCGTTAACCGAATCATTAACACCAAATTCCCGTGCTGGGCTCTGCCTGATTTCATTATAATGCGATCGGGGACATTTTACAGTTACGGTTCAGTTGTAAAATTGTACATATCACAGCGAGGTATAAGAAACACCTAAATATCGTTTCAACATACACCGTGGAGTATTTTGGCACCGGGATTATGCTAAACACACCATTCCGTGTTATCAGGCCCCAGAGCAGCCTACTGTATGTACATGTGCATTGCAATACGGGGGAACAGGAGATTGTGGGCGACGCTTCGGTGAACGGATTTGCATGACAATTGGTGTCAGAATTCCTAATAATGCAAACGTACGAGCTTCATCAATATTTAAAAATAGGGTGATGGCCGCACAAAAAACACGCTCCCACAATTCACCTTTGCAGCGAAAGTGAGTCGACGGCTTCTGTTATTACTGTCATTGATACTTTGTGTTGAGAGTATTTGGCGTGTGGTTTATGGCCGTGCTCCTATGCAGGTGATACACAGGGAAACATGGCGGCTTCATATCGGGATGTGTTTATTTTATTTTTTACGATATGTGTGGATGTTACTCGGACTTACCGAACGGGCGCTCCACAATCAGCGTGCTTTGATATGACTCCCAATCACGGGTACTCCGCACAACTGACAGACAGTCCTTATATTATTACATCGAGCGTACAGGAATACACCCCTGGTCAGCGAGTTACAGGTAAGTGTATGCTATAACAACGTAACTCTCGTCCCAGTTAGACGAAAATCGTGCCCTGTCTTAACAGGAGCGTGTATGATTTGTATTATCCTCTGTCTCATTTTGCAACATGGCAGGTGCGCGTCTCCGTTTAACCAGGATCACCACGCCCTGTCGTATGAAAACTCAAGATTCTTCGGATACCATATGATCGACCAACTTCGAGCGCCACACTCAAAATACCAATACAAAAAACCTTCTATTTTCTAGAACATTTGACTGTCTGGGACAAGCAGGCCAACCGTGAAAATCACCAAGCAATAACTACCCGTGTTTATATATTTTGTATGAAAATGTGATGTCAATATAACTTAAGATGTTGTTTTGGCGCAACTAATTTCGACGTTTATACTCGATTTACTCAAAATTTCACCTGTTTTAAAAGCTGCAAGGTCGAAGATCGAAATCTAAATCAGAAATTTGAAACGATTTTACTCTGTTAGTGTTACTTTATACAAGTGAATTTCTCTCATGCGTAGCACACGTTTTGTTAGAGTGAATAGCTGACGTTTTAAATCTGTTGACTCGACCTCAGTGCTATGTTGACGATCTCATGCGTTCACAGAAGAGAAAAGAAAGAAATTGGACAATAAAATGTTTCACGGTAGTGGAATTTTACGTGTCACCACCCAAAAGTGAGTAAGTCCACAAGAGCAAGTTCGACACTCTGTAAATTAACATTGGCAATTGGTCGCCCTGGGCGTTTTAGGGGCGAGATATAATGCAGAATCAAAGATTACTTACATCGTGGTTTGTGGTGCCTCGTAGTCAACCTGACGCTCCTGTAGGTAGTAATTTAACAGTGTAACAGAATATCCGTTTTAGCATAGGAACGGCAATCTGACCTAGCGCCATTTACAAATGTAATTTTATTACCCCATTGTTGTGTAGGAGTATAAATACTGTCAAGCGAGCTCCCTTACCAAAACCATCTGTGACAGGATCGAAATAATCTCTATTATGACCAATGTTGTCGAATTTTGTTGTCGAGGGTGAATGGACATTCCTGCATATCAATTGTAATGCAATGTGCGTCAACTCTGTACCACTCGTGTCACTTAATGGTAATACATGTATATTAAACT